GGCGGGAGCAGAGCCCGTGGGGGGAAGGATTTGGGCTGCCTGCTGCAGGCTTGGTGCTCCCTGCCCTGCTGCCCTCCCCCGGGGCCTCTGCAGCCCAGTGGGCAAGACCCAGCACAAGAGGATGGGGAGGCTTAGTGCTGTGCCACCACCATTGGGAGCCTTGTGCCAGCCACACTGCCATGGTGAGGCACCCCTGCCCACCCGGCAGCAACAGGGGTGGTAGTGGCACAGAATTGTGCCCCCCACTGCTGCCAGGTGGGCAAGAAGTGCCTTGCTGTGGCAGTGTGGCTGGGATGGAGCTCCTGGCAGCAGTGGCACCAAGCCTCCCTGCCCAACTGTGCCGGGGAGCGCCTGCTGGGCCCCTGAGGCCCCATTGGGGAGGGCAAAAGGGTGGGCAGCCCCAAGCCCACAGCAGGCAGCCTGCATTTGCCTTGTGCACAAATCTGGGGGCATGTGCCCCCCCGTTCAGGACTGTGTGCAGCAGTGGGGAGCCAGCCCTACCATCACCTGGGGCCCCATCTTGCTCCCCAGTTGGCCCCACAGCCATGTATACCCACCCAAGATCATGGGCCCCAACCTGGCTGGACAGTGCCCCCAGCCCCAGCTGCCAACACTGCCCCACTTCCTCCCTCAGTATGAGTGCCTCAATCTGTCCCCCCACCCCCCTCAAAGTGATATGCCCCCCAAATAAAAGTCTGGGGGAGCTGCTCTCCATTGCTGCCCACTGAGTCCCGCTCCCACAAGCCCAAAGCAGCCCCTTGCAGATGGGAACTCTGCCAGCCTGCAAGGGGAAACCCACAGTTTCCCAAGTTTTTGTCTGTGAAAGGAAAAAAAAATCTTTGTTTTTCTGCGGAAAATGGAAAACCCAGATCCCTGGACATCACCAACTGGAACCTCTCCATCCTAGACCAGATCAGTCAAGGAATGAGGCATATTTTTCCTGCATAAACCTAGGGACCTTCCAGTTGCAACTATTCAACAGAAAAGGAGCAGCAGAGGAAATATTGTGAGGGTCAAAGAAAATGGCACTAGCAGACAGAAGAGAACAGGAGCATACAAAAGGAATACAGGGAATAAACAGTAAAATGTGGTAAGGGGTGAGGAGGACAAAAGTAAACAGGCTTAAGCGAGGGACAAAAGGAGGAAGGACGAGACATGTCATTGTAGATGGCTTGCTATATGACAGATTTGCAAGGTCACTCTTGACTAGCATGAAATGGAAAACGCATACAAATTCTGTGGTTTTAAAGTTAGACTAAAAGTTCAAAGTAGCCACTGTTCAGGCATAGTAGGCACATTATGTATTCATGGAATAGGATTTGTATGAAAAGTAACAAAGATCTGCATGACACCCGAAAGCCTGTCCACAGCTCTCCCAATTAAGTGATTAGTCCAGTAAAAGATGCCACAAAGAATCCTTGCCTATCAGACATTTCCTGGACCATCACAGCAACAACAACCATCCAACCACCCTACTATGAAAAATAACTGGGTTTTATTGAAATTAAGCCAGATTTACTTGAACACATGTCCATTGCTACAATTTTTGATGCTCATATTTAGGATCACATGTGTAGCATGTTTGAAAGCTAAACTTATGTCAATGATGGTTTATGGTAGCTAAATCATTAACGCTGAGGAAAAAAATGAATAAGGAGTCCTGTTACAACAAGGCAACATTGTTCTAGGCTAAGAAAGTTTTATAACAGGTCCCATGATACACTAGTTATATTTCTCTTTTCCTCTTGAAGAAGCAATGGTATATACTGCTTGCTGCTGAAGGATGGTTCCCTAAAAACAACATAGTGATGCTACTATCTAAGTTGTGGGTGATCTGTCTATTCCTGCAGTTAGTCATTCTTATTTCTTAACCATCATTATTCACACGATACTGAATGCCAAATTTGCAACAAGCTCTTCTGCTTAATTTTCCCCTGCAATTTTGCACTTGCATGCAAGCTACACATATTAATACAATATATCAGGTACTTAAAAGGCTCAATTATTCTAGCTTACATCCATTACTTTTAAGGTTCCAGATAAAAAAAATTATGATTTGCATTGCAGAACTTGAATAAAAGAAAAAAAAAAGGTATTTTTAAAAAGTGTACTCTAAACTGTATTTCTATTTCATTTCAGATTTCTTATAACTACATTAACTTTTTTTCAATTTAATTTTCTTAGTACCAGAAAGCAACTGAGTAATTCTGTTCCATTACCTTTAAATTCTTTGGTCATGGGAACCTATAACCTAGATCAGTATGGGTCAATCTTTCTGGCAGGCATGCCACAAATTAACCCCACAGCCTCCCCAAGTGTCACTCCAATTCCCTTCCCCTGCCCGATCTTCTGCTCTGCTTTCTGTGTTGATTTCTACTTCCTGTTGTTCTAATCTGCAACTGTGCTGCTTGTTCCCTCCCCAGTCTGCCATGTGCCCCACACAGAGGCTGCCTGTGCCATTTGTGGCACCCATGCTGCAAGTTGACTGTCCCTGACCTAAATGATCCAAAAAAAGGGAGAGAAAGAGCAAGAAATTCACAACAACCCAGAGCTCAGGGTAGGTTTTCAAGCAATGTAAAGTGTCTCTTGCTTTCAATGACAATTTACACCAGTTGAGAATCTGCCAGGAATGTGTAGGGCCAAAGACAATATTTACCTCATGGTCATGGGCAGCCTGCCGCGCTGCATCTGAAAAAAGCAAAAGAGGCAAAAGTAGAATGAAGGAGAACTGAAAGATGAAGTTAGTTATGCAACCTAGAAATAATCTCTTTAATTCTTAAAGAAAGGTATGTGCACAGTACTTCTCTCTAACTTCATTTTTTTACGCCTGTGATAGTACAGTTCAGGTACAGTAGTATCTACATAAACCAAATCACTCCTCATACCTTCATTGTTTTTTTAGATGAACACAAAAGGGTAGGTTCTATACAGGGCACACAATAAAAGGCTTTTCAAAAGTGGCCTTGATTACTTGGGATACCTTGTTATTCTAATTAAAGGTCTATTGGTATTTTCATACTTGTTAGGCACTGTATTTGTTATAGTTTAATACCTTGCCGGTGTGATTTTCCTTTTTGCCTATCCTGTGCTTTCCTGCTAAAAACTTTGTAAGCCTCTGTCTTCTGGTACTGCTCCAGCTCTCGCATATAACGTTCTTTATCTCTATCTGCTTCATCAAGGTAACGCTGCAAAAGAAAAAAAAAAACACACAGAACTTCAGGGTAAAAAAATATAGCACAGGTGAACTGCTGATCATCTGCCTAGATGATAGGAAAGGAATGAAGAAAAAACAAATGAGAATGCATGTGAGATGCAGAACACAGAACCCTAAGCTGTGATAATTACAGTGGAAAACCAAAAAAAGTCCAAGAAAAAAAAACACTGAAAAATAAGTAACATTTTAACCAAGTCATTAATTCTGAAGTTTACTTCAAGACTTAAGACAGTTCACCTGAACATAAGAGATGACTGGCTGCTAGGATTCTTAGATAAGTTGAGTACTATTTACATGCTATAATCAGAGAATACTTAATGAACTGGATGTTTGTGGGCAGCATTTCATGCTGCCAAGTAGGAAGCTCTTTAGATTGCTGCAATGGTGTTTCAGTGCTCTTTCAACATTCCTAAGAGAAAACCACTATCATTCGGCAGCCTTCTGAGCATCTCTTCACTTCTCTGATGAGACAAGTGAAACACTGTGGCTACAGTGAGGAAATGCTTTAAAAATCAGAAAAGGATCTAGACGGTTCTGTCAGCTGAAGCTTTAATGTTTGAATTCAACTTGAGAGTGAAAGTCATTCTTGCCTGAAACATTTTCACACGTCTGCATAATGCAAGAAACTTAGCTACAGATCTATTTACAGAAACTACAAACCATTTACAGAGTTGCCATAATAAAAAACTAAGATGAATGGCTGCTTAAAAAAACCAAAAATTGCCTTTCCCTTCATTGCACCTAGATATAATTTTCTTAAGGCCTTTTCCTCAGACAAGTTTAGATCAAGACCTCAACAGTGACCTCAGATATTTTTATATCCAATACATTAAGAGATCAGTACATCCTACTGTCATACATGACGTGCACTTGGCACATTACTTTGCCTTATTACTAAAGCCATTGTTGCAGTTTTGTGTCTGAGGGCAAGATTGATGGAGTTAGGCTATGTATTTCTGTTGGGCATCTTTTGCAGACAGAAGTGAAAGCCTTACAGAGCAGTAGCATGTGTTATTGATATTGCTGTAGAAAATGCAAGTGGAAAGAGATGGACAAGGCTTTCTCCTTAAAACTTTTGACTCCCATATTTTCTCATAGTTTAGGATGGTGTTCCTGAAGCCCTAGCTGCTAGTAAATGTAGCTTTTGTTTATTAATAACCCGCTGTTTTACCCCAGGACTGAGCTAACAAGGGAGAGATATCCCTAGCTTAGCCCATATCACCTGAACTAGAGGAATAACTGCTAGTCCTTTTTGAAAACAAACACTCAAGTGGGACTTCACACATTTTTCTAGTGAGTTAATCAACTCCCTACTACTCAACAGTAATCCTGGGGTTCAGGAATTCAGGATTTCTGTTCTGGAAAAGGAATGTCATGTACTGAGGTTAGAAATAAAATAACCAAAGTCTGATTTGGCCACTCTTTTTTTGTTTTTTTTAAAAGCAGTATGACTGGGATTCATCAGGCTAGGGACATGGATTCTTAGCCTGCAGTGATATTGCATAAGCTTTCTACTACTTATTCACAGAACACTGCAGGACAAGAGGAAAGGGAGTGCTCAGGCGCTGCCTTACCACGTGCTAGGCTAAAATTCCTGGCCTTCATCAACAAGGGTAGTAAACTCCAGGAATTTAAACAATAGCTACAAAAGAGGAGGTCTGAACACCTAGTCTCTTCTTTCCTAGGAGAAGGCACTTTCTCTGATATTATAAGAATATTTGGTCAGAGTACCATATTTACTCAAATATAAAATGACCCTCCCAATAATTACATTAGATAATAAATTTGTTATAATTTACCAGGTATAGAATCTAATCTAATCTTGAATTTGTCCTCCTCCCACTGCTACAGCAGGGAAAATAAATCCCCTTTGCCCCCCCACCTCTTCTTCCCTCTGTAATAGCTTCCCTCCTTCCTTCCTATCAGACCCTACTCTCCCTGAGCACATAGAAGTAAGGAGCAAATTAAAAAATGTTGACCTTGAAATAAACATAATTTACCATGTAGGCAAATTATTACAGGTACCCAAAATTGATGCATGTTACCTTTTGTGAAACTGCTGCAAGTTTTAGCATAGGCATGCCATAAACACACTTTAAGCAACACTTTTTTACCTACTTAAATATAGTATAAACTATGCATGATATTCGTCCAAAACCAAGAGGCTCATGGTAGTTCATTGGGCAGGGCCCAGGAGAGCAAACATTTCAAGTGATGGTAACCCCACAGCTCAGCACTGCTCAATATACATGTGTTTATTCCACATACCCCCTACAAAGGATCCATGTGCTAAACAGACTCCCACTCATGACTGAAACTGGGTGTTCTTGTCATGAGTCCTGAGATCCTTCACAAATTGATATGAAGATGAGGCACAACTTAGTCTGGCTTTACCTCATGGAGGGCAGGACCACACTAATCATATGCAACAGACTGAGAGAGAGGGCAACAGAGGGGTTTGGGGTGAACTGTTTGAAGCCCCATTCAGTGATGTTTGCCAGATATTTAAGGCTGGTGAAGAAACAGGAATCATTAGACATGGGAAAGAAAGGTACAGTTCAGCTGTGGGAGTAAAGAGGAAGTAAAAATATATTCAATGTAGTGGCTCACCAAAAACTTGAAAAAGTTGGCATTCAGGGGGACTGCCTGTAATGAGCCACCAGCTACCGTGGATCTTTATTCAGATGAGCTATGTGTTTGTGGTAGATTCCCATCAGTATGTTTCCCCTGTTATGGTCCATGCGTTTTAGTCATACTTGCATTGGTTGAATTTAATTAACTTCACAGTTGGTTTCCATTATTGAGTACATGCTGCTTTTGGCAGCAGTTTAATGATAGGCAGGTATTTAATGAGACTTATTTGTACACTAATATAAGGCAATGGTCTTTTCTTCTCCATGCTGACTGGGGAAAAAAACCTTGTCTTGTATATTCAAGTAAATATGATATTTCAGTTATCCTACCCTTCTTCCCTCAGCTCCTGGAATGACTGACAGTATTCACGCTGCAAAAGATGTATTATCAAGTTCAGCAGACTTGCCTTGACATGCATTTTCTATTATTGTTAACATTTTCATAAAATATTGTATAGACAAATAATATCCATGTATAACTGATATTCTAGGAAGTGACACAAAACATCAACGTTGACAGAAGACAGTCTCAGGGTATAAAAGATTTTTTGTAAAATGTGTAAGGAAAGAAAATCCAATCCGGTGAAATACTGACAAAGGGGTAAATGCAGAACTCTTCTCTACTCTGTATCAACTCACTTTCTAAAACTATAAAAGATTCAAAGACTACTTAGAGTTTATATTGTACATTGTGGTTCTTCCCCACCCCTACTTCAATCGTTTTGGTTTTTTTTTTAAAAAGTAGGGGTGCACCAACAGAGATTGTTTTGGCCAATACGGATAGCCAATTTTTAATAAACCATATTGGCCAATACTGATCCAATTTCCAATATGTGGCCTGACAGTTTGGAGAATAGCATCTGGCAGGTAAGTCTGTTGTAGGTGAAGAGAAGAGGGGAGAGGGAAGGGCTGTATGTGGGGGACTGAGGCCCCCACAGTGAGGGAGGGAGTGGGGCTGGCGCTGCACAGCCAAGGCAGGGCATGGGATGGAGCCGTGACTCAACAAAGGGGCACAGGGAGGTGGGGGCAGCTCCTGCTCCCAAGAGGCAATGGGGAGGCGTGTGCCCCCGGATCTGTGCTTGGGGCAAAAGTAGGCTGCGGCTGCAGGCTGGGAATGGCACTGGGCTCTTCCTGGCAGGGGGCCTGGGCCAGGGCTGTGCTTGGGGCAGGCAGAGGTGGCATTGGGAATGGGGCTACGGCAAATTTTGGGGTGGATGTAGCACCCCCTATAGTCCCCTTCCCAGCACCACTGCCACCTGCCCCAAGCACAGTACTGGCCCAGCCCCCTTGCCGGGAAGAACCTGGCACCACCCTCAGCCCACAGTGGCAGCCCACCCTTGTCCAACACACAGATCAGGGGGGTACACACCCTCCATACCACCCACGGTGAGTGTAGCAGCAGGAGCTAACCCCCCTCCCCATGCTCCCCAGATGAGCTGCTCACAACTCTGTCCTATGTCCTGCCCCTGCCCCACTCCCTCCCTTACCACAGAGGCCTTGATCTGCCCTGTCAAGCCCCTTCCCCCCCCCCGCCCCTTTTCCCACAACAGACTTACCAGCTGGATGCTGCTCTCCATGCTGCTGGGCTATGCTCCTGGCTGCCTGTGTGCTGCGGCACAGCTGTGCGCATGCATGGGGCATTTATTGGTAACATTATCGGCCACATCAGCCAAAAAAACCCGATTGCCAATAATGTCAAATTTCCTTATATTGGTGCCAATATGATATGGGACTGATGTATCGGTACCCCTCTAAAAGTAAGAGATTGGGAGTTCCTGTTCAGGCTGCCTTACAGTAATCAGTTCAACTATGATGCTGTGATTAGTGTAAATTCAGTCAAGGTAATGGTGTTTGCTCCGGTGGAAGAAGTTAAAGAAACAGAAAAAAAGGTGGACTTTGCTGTCATTCACACAGTCAGGTACAGTGCAGAAGGTCCAAGTAAAGATCAAAAGATGTACTGTATTCTGGTTGAAAGAATGCAAGTTCCCTTTTCTGGGACAGAATTTTAGAGAGAGACAGACTCAAATGATGGAACAACTCATGTCTACAGTTTTTCAGAACCATACTAGAGAGCACCATACCAAAGCATTTCACATCTGCTCCAAAAGAAGGAGCTTATTGGTTTGTGGCCAGGGCTGCATTACGGTGGATACTTTGCATCTGTTTTGCAAGGTAATACTTGTGAATTGCATCACTACAGCATTCCCCAGTGGTGTCCTGAGATAGTGTAGATATAGCTCTTAAATTGATAGTGAAGGTACAAAACTTTAAAAAGGACAAACTTGGTGTAAAACAGCTTTTCCCCAGTTCTGTATCAGCAGCCTGTTCCTACAGGTCTGCTGGTCTTCCTCTGAAACCAAAAGTTTACATCCCCTAATAAGTTAACAAGGTCCACCCATCAGTCCTGAAACCCTGTCAGTTTCCCTCAGCTGTAGTGAGTAGGGATAAACTCCTGCCCCACCACTAACTATTTCAGCCTTGGAAAACCCAGTTTCAGCTGAGACCTGGGATAGATAATACACAGGTCCAATCTACACAGATCCCACACAAGCTGTAGATCCTCTCTAGACCTTTCACCAATATTCTGAATACAATGCATTGTTTGTAGGCCTGATGGAATTTTTCCCCAGCAACGACTGGCTTAAGATGCTTTGATCCCAAAAGGTTTCATTCCTTCAGTCTTGGAGGGTCTGTGCACCACACCTTAAAACACCTTCCTAAACACCCTGGCAGTCGCACACTGTCATCTTCCTTACTGAGCACCTATTTTTCCATTAAACAACAATCAAATTCCAACAAGGAAAAGGGAGTTTAATGGTACCCGTTTCTCTTCGGGAGGCAATTTACTCCATTCGTTGCCCAACATCCTGGTGATCTCTGGGAAAGGGACTTCAGGCCTCTTCGCTCGAAGCTGCTCCCTACGCTCATTCATGAATCGCACATACCCTGTGAGGGGGGATTTTGGGGCATTGCTGTCCCTAAGGGGTTTCTTCCTCTTTCTCCCTTTGGCCCAGCCTCCTCGTTTAGTTCTTTGCTGCTGCAAAATGAAATGGAATAAAATTCAGATTGAAGCAAAAACCCCACCACCCCTGGAAGGAAGAGATTTCTCAAACATTTTCATAAGGACCATGTTGCCGCAGTATACACTTATCTTCCTCTGTTAAATTCAAACTTGATTTTAGTCCAAGCCCAACTTTCTGATTAAAGCTAAATAAGCCTCATTATCAGAAACTATTTAATAGCATCACTCCTAGTTCCTGAGACAAATGAGACAACATCTCCATAACCCTAGTGAAATCCTCTAGCTATAAGATCATGAAATGAGACAAGCCTCATCACACCAAATCATCCATCTGAATGATACTGAAACATTTATTATGGTCCACAATGGAATTTATTAATGGACCACACTGTTAGTATATTACCTCGAGCAGTGACTCCTCACAGTTACTTTACAAGGAAATAAATAAATCTCAGTGCACCTAGACAACTGAGAAATATTATGCCACAGAATTACATTTCTTCCTGACCACAGTTGTGAAGTTTGAGAAGTGACAGCTCGTGAAAGTGTCATCCAAAGTAATAACTGCAGATGCAATTCTGATTCTAAACTGAATGTCTAATCCTTCTTTTTACTGAACAAAGTTCTTTGTTTCCATATCCTATTGTGGGTCCCATATATTAGCCAACACGATTGTTCTTAACTAGTCTTCTCCCTTCTAAATTTGTTGCTTCTGGGTGTGGTACGTCCTAGTCTTCTAGTGTGAAGGTTGTTGTGTTGGTTCTCTTTACTACATGTTATTCCCATCTTCATTTATTACTTTGTTTTTTAAACAACTTTTGTAAGCCTCAAAGAGCATTACAGAAACAGATAAATACCCCTTATTTACAAATGAACCTTGGCTATAAAGTATCTTGTTCGAGGACCAAAAGTGAACCCATGTCAGAGACATAAATGACAAACCATCCAATTCTGTCATGCAGAGTAAATCTCAATACTGCCTTTTTATGCTGTACACTATCAGCTCTCCTTGTATGTTCACCCTCCTTCAGGGGTCTAATGATTTTGTTTGCCTTTTGGGTATTTTACTATATTTGGAATAGTGTTTTGAGATGAGGTCAAACTGAACACAGGATTCAAGAAGAGGACCATCTCTTTATTATAAAAGCACTTTAACAAATGATTTTTTTCTGTTCTTTAACATTCTAAATCATCCATATGAGTAAGGGAGAGTGCACAGGTTCAGTCTAAGAAAGAATTGTTACTTTTCATTAGGATCACAAAACACTACACACTGGATAAGTATTTTTACAATTAGGGAAATGGAAGCACTGTCTGACTTGTCCAAGGCCACATAGTAAATCCTGGAAAGAGCTTTCAATAGAACTCAAATTTGAATCCTAATTTTTTTACATTAACCATCAGGCACTACTATGTCTCCTGAACAAGCATTCAAGATATCCTCTATACTCTTCTAAAAGTTATGTACAGTTTCCTTGAAGGGGCATCAATTATCAATTATCTGAATTAGAAGCCAGGGTAAACTGTGGCAATAATATAGTTAATCTTCATGGAAGGGAGAGGACAGTTAAACAAACCTCCAAAATACTAACCTTTCCTGGCTACTTTGGGGGCAGATATCACTTTCTCAGAAGGCCTACCTGCTAGCTTTCCCTGACCATAGGAATGTGGTTGTATAACAGAAGCAAAATAGGTAGGCTGAATAAAGACATGAAAAAGAACCTCCTGAAAATGGTAAATGGATGAAGGTATGTGTCTGTAATGAGAAAAACTTGAATGGGTAAGATGAACTACCAGGGGGACAGCCTATGCTTTCCCCTTCTATCAACAAGTCATTTGTGCCAACTCTGTTATTTCAACTCACCTCTTCTTCAGGCTTCTGTTCACTGCTTTCAACTGTATTAGAAGACTCATTTTGAGGCTGCTGAACTTGTGACAAGTCCTCCACCGAGTCCGTGTTGTTCACAGGCTGCGACGCTCCACCACTGAACAAACCCTCAGAGTGGACTAGGCTGGAAAATTAGGTCACAGTATGAGAAAGTGCAGCCATTATCATGGTAAGCGATTTCCCTCTGCTCCTCCAGAATATGCAATGATGTTGCGAATATTATTCAAGGTTGGTGCCACTGAAAAGATGAGAAATTTCAAAACGGCAACTCTGAATACTGTATGTTCCATCAAAGTGATTTCTAGGACATGGTCTACAGTTCTTATCAAGGGCTTAGGATAAAAATGCTTCCAAATCCTGATGGAGACAAAACAGTCCTAAAAAAACTAACTTTTGTGTGAGAATAGTTTCCTCCAAGCTAATCTGCTTCAAACAACTATCATATATGAAATCCTAAGAAAATGAAGGTTGAACAGGAATGAAGACTGCATGAATTCTACAGTAGTGTTCAGAACAAACAATGCTTGGAGAGGAAGGTCTTATTCTTCATTTCCCCCTGTAAGGAGGTGAAAACTGTGGTTTTAAATATGGTACTCTTTTTGCCTCCTGGCTGGTCAGCAAGAAGCAGCAGGGCCCCCAGAGCCCCATAGCCAATCAGCAATGGGGGAGAATGCACAGGGGAACCTGCAAAATTAAAGGAGCTGCCACGCAGCCCACTTCCGCTGTGAATTCAGTAGGCCTCTATCTATACTACTTGGTAAGTCCTTCTGTGGCATTGGGGTTCCATGGGATTTGAGATGGAAATTTTTACAGTACTATCTCCTGCTGATATATCTGGATAATTAGGTCCCACTAGATCCCTGAACAGCAAAGTAGCCAAGAGATTTTGAGAGACCTGTATCAGTCAATCACAGCCCCTTGAAGAAGCCAAGCTGTCTCAAGAGAGTAGCCAAAATTGAAGATGTGTAATCTATGAACATCCCCATAGAGCTGCTTGGACCTCGAGATTCTGCTGCAACAATCCAGTGGTCATTCTAACTGTTGTTCTCACTGGAACGATTCACAGAAAATTTTAGAATCTGTTGGGTGGGGTCTCTGGCCCACTACACATTTTTTGGGAATAGAGTTGTACACCTCAAATGCATCCTGTTCTGAAACATGTACCAGTTGAGTCAAGTTCACTGGTGAAAACACACGGGCCAGAAAGGGTCAAGCTTGATTTCTAGATCCTAGACTGAGTTTGCAGAGTTAGCAGCTGCTGGGAGGAGAGGAGGTGGCAGGGGGTAAAAACCCAAAAACCTATATTTATTATGAATTAAGCATATGTGGAGTCCTTAGACGTAATATGAAATATCATAGTGACATTTTCAGAATAGCTTTTTTAATTTTTTAATCATTGCAGTCTTCCAGTCTATCAAAAAAAAAAAGCAGTCAGTCATTTACAGATAAGTTTTTAAAACTACATTTATAGGAACAATTTAACTGATTTTCAATGAAAGGTGATAAAAGGTTATTCAAGATGTTAATCTCTTCCGACCACATATGGCAGCAGCAAATCTTCAGTCCAAGATATGCTGAGCCAAACTCAGGGACACCTACTTGAAAAGGCCTGTGTTTAATTATAGTTCGTACCATGTTTAACTGGAGTTGCACTTGCTTACACAAAATCTGAGCTTGTCCTCTGGAGTCCTAAGAACAGAAATAAGCCTGTCCAAGCATAACCATGTTTCAAAAAAATATATATAAGGGTCTCATCTTTCATCACTGCACCCACAAACAAAGGCCTCTGGCTTTATGGTCTGTGAAAATAGGGAGAGGTTGCTTGCTGGACAGGAAAAACATTAATTTAGCAGCTTTGTTTTGGAAAGTCTTTTGATGAACAGCATATCTTTAACAAAAAAAAAAATCTCTGTTTAGCAGGGTCCACAGCAGCAAATAAAACCACTCTGATTGCAGACTAAGACTGTCCTTGGAAAGCAAGCTTTTAAAAGTAACATAGAGATACACCTTAAAAAGAAATGTATAATATTGCTCAATAAGTTTGGTTGCTGGAGTGCAAGATTGCTACATCAGGGCCAGGGGAGACTTTTATAATGTGATTTGTACAAGGTGCCTTTCTTCCCACAGAACTAATTTCTCTGTGGAGTCTTCAGGGACAGACTATATGCAAACTGAGTTTAAGAAAGTAACTGCTTACCCAGTTGTGGCAACTTCATTGCTCTCCTTTGACCCATCTTCATCCGTAAATAATGGGGGGAGGGATGAGCCAGCCATCAGGTTCTCCATACTTTTGGAAAGATGAGAAAGTGGAAGCAAAAATATTTTACTTACTTCTAGCAACTGCCCTTCCCCCTTGCAAATTTCTTGGTAAATCTTATATAATATAAATCTTAAGTGCAACACACAGCATCAACTCCTATTTAACCCTAACACCTTGGTTAAGTTTGACTTCCAACTAATAAATTGACAAATTTTATTTTGTGATTTAAACCAACCTACTAGGGCTGTGCAAAGCTTTGGTCGCTGATTCGATCTGGACGGATTCAGTGGACGAATCGAATCAGGAGACCCTTTAATCTCTCTGAATCGAATCAGAACCCTTCGAATCAATTCAGAGAGATTTGGTGATTTGGATATAGACACAGACTCAAATGTTTTGTCCACATACCTCAAGGTACCAGGCAGCTTTTGAATGCTGTGATGCTGGGGCACATGGAGTGTACCACAGGAGCCCGGGGGTGTCCCCAGTGTGCTTGGCAGCAGACCTGGAAGTGGATCAGATGCACTGGTCCCCCACCCCAGGAGACTGGTGCTTCCTGGGTCTGGGGGGCACACCCGGGGTCACCCTGCAGCCAAATCATCAAGCCTGGGGAGCGTGGGGGAGCCCCCCGGCAGACTTGGAAGTGGACCGGGAATACCGGGTCCACTTCTGGTCTCGTTGCTGAGCATGCGGGCCCCCCCCGCCACCGCACTCCTGTGGGAGGCTCCATCCGCCCCAGCATCGTAGCGCTCATGAGCCATGCCTGGTCCCTTGAGGTATGCGGAAAAAACATTTAAAAGCTGCGTCTATGTCCAAATTAGCATCAAATCTTCAGATTTGGCTGAACTGAATCAGGGACGGTGATCAGAATCAACTAATCAAATGACTCTCTCCGATTTGGGCTGAATCGGAATCAAATAGGGCCCATTTCGCACACCCGTACTACCTACCAACCCACACTGCTGGTCATCCCACATAGGACCCATCAAGCACACACATGCAAATAGAACTGAAAACTTCAGTAACGTTCTGCTTAGCTACCTGAATCAGACTTGCAGTTTGAGATTGCATTTTTTTACTTCCTCTTCTGTACTTTCATGACATTTTTGTTGTGCCTACAATAGTGCATTATTTATCTCATGGGGCTACATTCCAGTGGTCACTGAAGTATTTCCTGTTTACTGACTACCCTATGACAAACTGAATGCTGCCATGAAAACAAAAGAAATGGGCAACTGCTGTTGACAGTTTAATCAAAGAAACCTGGTTTCCATGTCAGAAGCAGCTGTTGTATCCTTACATGCACTAAAGATATAAGGATTGCAAAACAGAGTAAATTCATACCTGTATTTATTACACATGATCACTGAAAAAGGAAAGACCATATAACTTCTGTTGACAGTCTCTGTTGGAGAGACCTTCTGTTCCTTTCAGAGCTACCCAAGGTTCTCATCTGGGTATTGCTGCTGACCTCCCCATTCGTACATAAGCCCCTCATCTGGATTTAGTGGTGCATTAAACCTAGGCTAACCTGCAACTGAGACACTTTTCAACACATTCTCAAAGAAAGGTAAACCTCAGTTAAAATGACATACTTTGAGAAAATATTGGTCACACCTATGAAAAATATAGGCCTATTGTCTGTATTATATAAAGCAATTCTAAATAGCCATATAGAAGAAAAAGCATTGTTTATAATAAAGTGGACTAATGGCATTGGATGAAGAATGGGAGACCATCTGGAACAATGGTCCTCATACATCTATCTACATAACAATAAAAAAAATATTTAATCATCCTCTCTATTGATGGTCTTTAACTCTACTTAGAATTAAATCCATTAATGGCACAAAAACAAGCAATTGTTGGAGAGAATGCAATCAGCCAGGAAGACTATCACATACAGAATTAAACTGTTCTAGAAGAAGGGTGAGGAGACTGAGGGTAATAACAGGATGCCAACTGTCCCATAATGGTCTTACTGAACCTTCCTGAGAACTCTACAACATAAGAGTTATAAGAAATTAATCACTCATCTTCTAGTGGCAGCTAGAATGACATCCTGAAAAAGCCTGAAAGACATGTGACATCCCTAAAAACATCACTGACTGGTTTCAAACAGTTTGGGAAGTTTAAGCAATAGAAACGTTGTTTTATCAAGTCAGTGTTCTACAAGGCAGAAGGAAGAGAGATGCTTACTTTTAAAATTTGGTGGAAATTTTTGGAATTTGCTAAAAAACAACCAACCAACCAACCAAAAACCCCTCTCCTGCCTCCAAACCAGAAAGTTTGAGAAACTTTGTTGAAAGTCTCAGGAAAGTGCAAGTTCTATGAAATAACACTAAAAAACAAATTTGAAATATATTGAAAATGAAAAGCAGAGATGAGTAGATAAGAGAGATGTATATTATGAAGTATTTTTTTTGGAGGGGGGAAAGAGGGTAAATTATTATATAGAGATAAAGAAAAAAAAGCTTGACAAATGTAAAAGAATGGTAAGAGACTGAAAGCAAGAGAGAGAAAAAAACCCCAAGACCCCTGTGGTTATTGATTTCAGTTAAAGGAGCACTGTTGATTTGTCTTTACATAAATTTTAGGGGGTTGTACATATCATTAAATGTTAAATGTGTTATTTGGTAAGTTAAATTTGTTATCATTTGGTAAACTTTATTAATAAAGTTAAAAAACCTCAAGAAACACTAGGCTAGCTTTTTATGAATGGAGACCTTGGGTCAGAGCACCACACTCCAGGGGGTTGGCTGATACACCGCACACTCTGTATTGTGAACCTATGTAAAATACCTTGAGTGCTGATGGTTCTCCAATGTATTCCAACAAAGAATAATACATCCTAGCAATATACAACTTGGGGAGCAGCATCAGTAAGGGCTCTGCATTCAGATAATTTGCACTGTGGCTGCCTGTACCTGAACTAGGCTAACACAGACCCTCAAACCTAGTGGGAAATCGCTCAGGTTAACTGCAACAAAGACAAACCATCAGAGCTTCATCAGCATGTGGCATGAAACAGACTGGAACGAAAGCTAAATCTCAGATTTAAAACACTCTGGCTAAATGCTGGCACTTAAAAAAATTCCCAGATTCTCACAGTGACCACAACCATGCTACAGTGGCATTACTTTAAAACAACATAAAAAGGAGAGTAACGGTGAAACAATGCAGGGTTTGTTAGCAGATAGGCGCTAGCTTTTAAAGAAAAGTCAGACTGTGAAACTGTATAAGAAGGTGCAGTATATTAAGAAGTTGAAGTGTACTTGAATATTGTATTTATTTTTAAAAAAAGTCTTTGGAATTATAAATGACATGAATAGAGCAGAACTCAGCAATTTTAGAAAGTCTGGTTCAATATTTCTGAAAACTGTCATCTTGGCAATCAAAACAGAAATCTGTTAGAGATGGTAGAGGCCTCACTAGATAATAAAATGCTTAACTATGATGTGCTTCCAGTTTATTCCTTTAAACAAGCACCCAGCAGATCAATGCAAGGTCTAGGTGAAACATGTACACTACATCAATCTGATTTCCATTGGGGATGAAAATTATACTGTAAAGATATCCTCATATTTTTGATGTATATAGGGAGAGCATACAGGAGTAGACTCGTGAGAAAGAAAGGGATTGAGGATATTAATCCTTCTCTATTGCCTATCCTGTGTTTTTTAATCTCTGGAGTGCTTTTCCCAACTGAACCCTTTCTAAAGAAGTTAGCAAAAGACCCTTTTATTTGAAAAACAAATGAAAATTAAAAAGCTAGGGTTTCTGACTGCTCCTAAAAAAATGGACATTATCTTAGGAAAAAAAAGTTATAGACACAATGGTTGTGTGTCACTAGATTAACAGATATATGTTCCATCCAAGTCAAGGTTGGGGTTCTTAAATGAAACATTGAGAGAGCCAAAGAATTAAACTGGACTTGAAAAATGAATTATTTGCCAATTTCTTGGAGAACTGCTTAAGTACAGAAAACCAAGCCAAGTTCCTAAATATAATCCTTACTCTATCAGTGTACTAAGCGCTCTGAATGGAACAAGTTAAACAGATAATAAATGAAGAAGTTTTGCTTTGTGTCACACACGGCTATTGAGCTTGCAACTTCCTTCGGTGGTAGAGGAACCCTTATTTATCTGATAAAAAGGAAAAGTTTAGGAAAAAGCCAGGGCAGCTTCTTGGAAAGATTTTCTTAATAAGAAAAACAAAGCTGTGTGCCCATCTCCTTTGGAAAAAAAAATTATATAAAGCAACTTATTTTACAGACTTCTCTCCAACAGACTTCCCTGGCATCCCTGACATTCAAAATCTCAGCTTTGTCAGTCTGGTAGCACTCTGCACTCCTGCAGATGTCTCGAGGGAATAGAGACTGCTTGGTGGTGAACAAGCCATCACAATATTTTTCTGTCCATCATGCACAGTACGACAAGAGTTGCAGAACTGAGGATAGGAAAGAGCAACTAGTAGGCTAATCATAAGCAGATCTCATGCAACAACTCTTATGTAGCTTCATCAGCATGAATTTAGGCCAAAATATTTACGTTGCTGTGCTTCAAGTATGAATAAAAACATTAAATTATTGCCTTTTTCTGACTTTATCTTTTTCAATCAAAAGATAAACAATATGAGGAGACAGATATACAAAAACAGAGACAGCAGTTACAGGTATGAAGTCCATGTTGTGATACTTCAGCCCAACAACAGCCAACTTTTTCTCAGCTTCACTTATCATCCATAATCATATGGAAGAAATGGTATTTGAAAAAAACAACACTGCTTCAGCAGTTCAACCTCACCATTATTAGCTGTGTTCAGAAAGCTGCTACACCTTCTGAAGCACGGCATCAATAAGAGCTGCTCTAAACTAGGTTAGATAAGCTGGTGTTAAAGAAATACCAGAAACATACTTTAAGGCAGGGGCGGGTAATTATTTTGGGCAGAGGGCCATTTACCGAGTTTAGGCAAGCTGTTGAGGGCAAGCTGTCAAGGGCCGCCTCCTTTGACAGGCAACCAGAAGC